ATTTTTTGTTACAATGGTTAATTACTAGTAAAGTAATTAGATATAAATACTTGTATTTTTTCTTGTTATTTATCATTCTTAATTCTTAAATTGGTTTATTTAATTTAGGGACAATTTATTTTTATTGTAGTAATAATCACTATTTTTTTATTTTCAGGATTATAATACTGTTTCCCTTTCTAAGGCACTTCCTCCTCAACAGAAATAAATTTAAAATAGTATCTACATTCGTGTAGATTAATTTTATGTTATCTAATACTCATCTTCTTTTGTTCCTTAGACTCATTGCAGTGGTATTGTAATATTGATATATTTAAATTATATTTGTAACATATATTTATATAAGTTAGTCTTTTACTTCTTGTTGGTGAATTTAATAACTGATACATCAGTATATAAACTGTTTTTACCTGTGATAATGTTTGTTTACCATGAATTTTTTTTTTTATATATTGGTGTAATAGAATTTTAGAACTAATTGAATTAGTAATTTTATTTGTGTCTAGTCTATTATTGATTGTAGATATTGTTTATATGTAAAGAAATTGTTTTAATGATTATTTATCATGTTTATTTTCGTTTAGCGATTTACAATTTTTAGCAATTTGAACTAAAACAGACAGATTAGATTTAAGTTTTTGAAATCATCGTTGGGAATCAACACCTCTGATATGACTACATAAATATTTCATCATTTTATTTATGAATGCTGAAGTATGGTGTCAATTTTCTTAGGTCTACATTGTATAATGTAATGTATTTGAAAAACCAACTTGCTAATTTTAATATTTTTGAATAGTTTATTAAACCAAATTCTTGTGAACTCTTACTGAGTTCCATCACAAATCTATAAAATGTATTTTTTACCTTTGTCCTGTTTTACTTACTTTTATTGATTTTATCAATGATTACTTTTTTTAAAAGTCTTTAAATTCTTTCACATTACACTATAATTACTATCTTAGTAAAATTTTCGCATTGCTACTAATAATTTAAGAAAGTTTTCTCTCAATTTTAGTTAACAGCAAATTTTTTATTATTTATGGATACTTTAAACAAGTTTCCCGCTTCAGTTTCAGTTACCTAACATTTATATGTAGATGTATAAACTGACTGTATTGTATGATTATTTTAGAATACAATATAAGCTTCAATTCTAACCTCCCAAAGCACTATTCCAGAAACATTCTGATAAATTCGTGGTAATCATTTGATTTTAAATTTTATATTGAGATATCTCAAAAGCTCATAATACCTTGAATGTTTATATTAAAACCAGACTATGGATGAATTCATGGAAAATTCCAAAATCTTGTCAAAAGCTGTTTTTAAAGGAAAAAGGAGCCATGTGATCTAGAAGCAGCATTTTCAACAAGTTTTTTTTTAATTTTCCTTTTAGACAGTTAGATTTTTCCTTTGCCTCTCTCACAACAAACTTTAAAATCCCTTAAGCCCAAATATATACAAAATAATACCGTAATATTATATGTAACTCCTCGTTTTATGCAGTGCAGGTCTTAGGGTGGGGCAACCAGGGCAATTGCCTCGGGGCTCTCCCCACTTGTTAGAAATTTTAAAAAATACAAAATATATTAAAATAATTAATAAAGCAACTGTATTAGAGAAATATCAAATCAAATAAAATTCAAATACTGCATTATATAGAACAGCTTAAGAAATAAATTAAATTTTTTAGGGGGGAGAGAGACATCATTTTGCCTAGGGCATCGAATGTCTAAGGCCGGTACTGGCCAAACTTTAATGAAATTTAATAAAGCTGAAACTTTATATCTGTTCTACTAAACTGTAAAAAAAAAAAAAAAAAATAGATTAAACTGGACTCAGATCCGGCTTCAATTGAAAAAAAATTGTTTTTCTTTTTTTCCCCTTCCGACCTTAGAATTTCCCTAAAAATGGAACTTTTTCACCAAAGTGGAAATCCTGTCTAGAAGCCTTGTTAAACTAACTACTTCAGTGTTTGAAAATATGTCCAGTTAATTTTCATTTATACATACCTGGTCAATTATCGATTTGCCCTTGGTTACAATGAAAGTATATTTCTCTGGTCTGTCTAAAACATTAGGCCGTTGTATATAATCATCCCTAGAGACTCAAGCGTTTTAACTAGAATTTTCTCTGGATGGTTCACATGGTTGTCACATGACAACAGACGGCTGCCTATATTTTTATGAAGTCGTAATCGTGACAAAAATTCATGCGTGCCCTTTAAAATCACCAGTTAAAATTATAGAGCTATGTGGATAGTTTGACATTATGCAAGTAATGATAATTTGAAGTTTCTCCATGCAAAAAATAATATCATTTATTGGGGTGGACGAATAGATATTTCTCAATGTTAAAAGCATATTATTTAATTTTACATTTAAAAAAAATCTATAAACGGTTGATCTCTAAAATGGTAAACAGACCCTACACTGTTTGTCGGAATGACATTTCGATGCACTACAGTGGACTCTACATGATCAGTCTGAATAATATTCTAAGGTAGTAAAAAAAAAACAAAAACAAACTATTCTGAGGTAGTATTGACCTTCTAATTGACCGTGAAAGGTTATGATTAAAGTAATGATGGACATGACTTGCGGGTTTTTAGAAATCTAGAAATCAAATTTTCAATCGCGAGAAGTGGAAGTAGTGATGGGGTGATATAGAGTGACAGGCAGACCGAAATAACAGTGACAGTAACTGTGGTCGCTGTGAAATCACAGGTCTGATCACTGCCCTTCATCACTCCTATCCAGCGATCTGGGCACTGTTGACATCATTTTTGCTATGAATGAATGAAAGGAATAATTCATGAAATAATGTTTTTGTTTTTTTGTGTTGGCATTACAGACCATGTAGATCTTTTGCCGCCTTAACAAGCCTACTCCATCCCTGCCTGTCTTGGAATATTTCTTTCCATTTATCTGCACGCAGCTCTATTGCATGTTTGTTGACTCTATCTGTCCATCTGCTTTTAGACCTTCCACATGGTCCTCTGTCTTCTATCGAGGTATTCATTGTTACTTAAAAGCTTTCAGCTGGATTACTACGAGGTACATGCCCTGCCTATCGTGATCTCCTTGCCTTCATATGAGGTATTGATTGACCAGTTTCTGTAAACAGTTCTTTATTGTTCTTTCTTCCTCGTGTGTTAGTACTCTGATCCCAGATCGCTCCAGTTATCGTGCAGAGAATTTTTCTCTCAAATCTTTCAACACTTTTTTCTATGGTGCTAGTTAGTGTCCAGGTCTCACAGCCATATATTAGAACCGACTTTATCATAGCATTGAACATCTATGGTTTTCATCAATTTGAGATTTTTTGGGATGTTAATACCTTTGAAAGGGAGCATATAGCTCTGTTTGCGCTAGTATATTTCTGCCTGTTGGTCATTCATAGAGATTATTGTGGAGCTGAAGTAATTGAATTTTTCTATTATCGGGAATGACTTTCCTTCTACGCAGATCCTGTATGGGAGTGAAATTTTTGGCTTATGATCATATCTTCATATACTTGTACGCTGATTTGCTCTCTCTCTTAACAGACCCCTTCATTTTCATGTGATATTGTTCTTATTACCTTCTTCAGGGCTAAGTTGAACATCGGTGATAGTCCATCTCCTTTCTGTAAGCCCATTCGAACTTTTAAGATTCTCCTTGTATTAGGGCTCGACATTTGGGGTCATTTGTACATGCCTTTGTTAATCAACAATTTACCATGATCTCCCAGTTCAGTCATGATTTTCCAAAGACAGCTCCTGTCTATAGAATCCTGAGCTACTTCCCATCGCTTTTTGAGTACAGCCCACAGCCAGTTTCTCCCAGTATTTTTATTATAAAATTATTTCTGAAATATTTAACAACTAAGGCATCTTTTAACACAAAGGGATAGCTCCATTTTTTTCTGTCAATATTATATGGCTAAAAGAAATATTTACGAAAATGTTCAATTGCTCTGCAAAACACAAAGCTATACAAAGGTAGATTTGATAGAACTTTATTGTTTTGATTGCAAACTGCTGTTTTTTGTTTTTTTTTTAATTTTTTAGATTTTCTGTTATTCGTTTTGGTTAGTATACGTCTCAAGGAAACAAGAATTAGATCTGATATAATACTGTTTCCTTCTAATTCCTATAAGACAGTCTAATGTAATGTAATGTAAGCTTGGAAAACAATATAAGCCCCTGTGATTAATTTTTACTATAACATTCAAATAATTATTGTAATTGCTCCAGTAGACTGTCATAATCCCACAATTATTAACTAGACATTGCACTTATCAAGATGGCAGATGAGCAATTTTTAAAAAATATTTGTATAAAACTTCTATTAGTTTGTTTAAACTCATTTTCCACATATATAGAAATTAAAATATGATTGTGGTATACAAAACAGAAAATTAAATATTTCCAATAAGGGATTCAACATATATATTTTTGAACAAAATTTTCACAATAATTTTTAATTTACTTATATAATACTGTTGTGCATAAAAAAAATCAATTCTGCCTGATATGTGAAATACAAAAATCATTGAAAGTATTTTTCATATTCCAGTTAACCGTATCATTTAAGAAGAGGTAATAATGTAATACAAAAACATATTGATGCATATAAATATTAAATAAAACATTTTGAAGTAGTTAATTTTAATATCAAAACATGTACATCATAAAAATCTAGCTTTTTCTATTCCTCCAAACTTATAGATTTCATCAGCTTTTTTTGTTTTTTTATTACAATATGAAAATATGAAACAAGTAATACAAATGTTATGAAATAATCATACATTTTTATTTAATACCTATGATTTACTGTTTACATAACACAAACTAAACTATTCGAATATCTAAAACTAAAGATAAGTGAGAATGGGCATAGATAGGAGGGCGATGGGAACAATCTGTACTGGGATCTGCACTTCACATAATCTTCCCAATCATAGTGACAATTATTGAATGTAAATTGTACTGTTCAGGTTGTTAGATGAATAATTCAATTGTCATCATTATCTTCATCCTCTTCATCTTCCTCCTCAGCAGAATCTGCTTTCTTTTCTTCCTTTTTAGATGGCCGACCACGCCCTCTGCCAGTGCTACCAGTTGTCTTGGCCTGTGTAAAAGATATAAATCATCAGCAAAACATATTCAAATATATTAGATATATATATTTGATAAATTTATGTCAGCTATTTTTGATAAAAATGATTAATTGTTCAAATCAGCTTATCACTTTCAAGTGGAATTCTATTTTCCCACTCATGTGGGATGCGAAACACAGGCAAAACTGTACGTTCTATCAGAAAGGTAGAATCCCGTCCCATTAATCCAGACAAAACAGAAGAAATTATTAAGAGGGTTTCACTTACTCTGTAGGATACAATCAAGAAGGTAAACGAACTATATTTTACAAAAGAAAATACTGTTTAGACAACAGATGCAAGTTAAAACAAAGATTAGAACTTGGGTACATGATTAATGTTTGTATTATGTATCATGCCTTGCTTTATTGTCTATTTTTCTTTGAAAATAATAGACAATCTGTACTGTATCGAAATTCGTCTGTGAAAGGCACAAGGGTGAGGTAACTATCTGTTTTGGAACCCCTACGGACAACTTGGAACACGATTCTGCAATTCTTATAAATGTCAGTTATATATATATAATCATTATATATATATATATATATATATATATAAAACTGGGATAGTCTATAGACTACATCACTAAAACAGCTTAAGGAGCGGGGTGGCCGAATGGGTTAACGCGTGTGCACCACACCGAGAGTTGTCTGGCAACCAGGTAACCAAAGTTGTGAGATTAAAAGAAAGTATGAGTTCGCGACCCAGTGCCGGAGGGGATATAAATTCTCCACCATCACTCTCCGACCCGGGAAAATCCCGTATAGCCTATAAGGCGAGGTAGGAAAGAATAAAAAAGCACTGAAACAGCTGTAACGATACTGATAAAAACTTTCACTAAGTTTTTCCGATGAAACATTATAAATTTATAATGATGTAGAGATAGTTGACCGTGATATAATATGAGGAGTTGATCGGGGGGTGCGGTCAAATAAAAACTAAATTATAGAAATATTATTATTTAATTTTTTTTGCCGACGTTTTGACCTACTTTGCAAGTCTTCATCAGGACTTCAAAAGATACAAAATATAAAAGGTACATGGTGAAAATAAAATAAATTAATATAAGTAGATATAAAATAAGAAGTTGTCCGATAAAGAAATAAAAAGATGATATCAGAGATATAGCGGGTGACAATGTAGTTAAAATATCAAGTATTATATATATAGAAGATACAAACAAAAATAGAAAACCATTTTTATTTGTAATTTTGTTTTCTATTTTTATTATAAGAACACCAAAATGACAAAACACTATTATATAGGGTGTCCCGTAAGTATTTAAAAGGTTGATAGTATACATCAATATCTACAAAAGAGTTCATATAAACAATTACCCAATTTCCAACAGAAAAGTAGAAAATTTAAGATTTGTGTTTTATGCCTCACATTTTTTGTTGAATAAGAAGCGATAACTTAAGAAATATTTGATTTAAGTAATTAAACATTGCTCCATTGTATACTAGACAAAATTTACTTTAAAGGAAAGTAGAGTATGTCATTGTTAAAACTATTAAAATAGGACTTTTGAGTGGCTAAACACAGCTAAGTTGTGTTTCAAAAAAAGTCATAAATTATTTGCGTTTTTTTTTTTTTTTTAATCACCCTATTACATTTATCCTATTTTTTCAAAAACTGCCTCGCTTAATAAGCTTTAAATCTATATTAATTAATTTGAGGTTTATTAGGAAAATTTTTGAAATTCACCTCAAGATTTGTAAAGAAATGATGTGATTTCCTATCTAGTCACATTAAAGAACCCTTTGTTTTGCAAAAGTGACTACCATTAACTGTTGCAAAGCTATTATTTCTTGTTTTCTGTGATATGGAATGTATTGTAATAAACACAATTGCCTAAAAATACATTTTAGTTATAAATTTTAAAAAAATTGAAATTATTAAAATAAAATTGAAGGGATCCAATCCACACAGTATATTAGAGTTAGATGTGGTTTTGAATGGGACAAGTGTTCAGGAATTGTAATTCTTTATAAAAAAACATTGTATAGTTAATTTTTTATAAATATATTAATACTATAGCAATATTTTGGCTAGAATAAAATGTATAATATAATTGTTGAAGATAAATTGGTTAGAGATTGCAGTCATTAGAAGTACAAAGTAAAAATAAATTACATTTTTACTTTGTACTTCCAATGACAGCAATCCGCAACAATCCAACTTATCTTCAACAGTCAACAACTATCCACCATTGAGCACTTACTGAACCATACTCTCATGACTTAGCAAGGATGAAAAAGATTCTCTCTTCCCCAATTATGTATTTTTAATAAAACAGTACGACAATCAATAAACAATTGGAATGAATTTTTTTGTTAAAGAACATCAAGTGGATGGATTCAGATTACAAATAGATGAATATGGTGCAATGCACCGAAATTTCTATGTAACAATAAAATAAAATGAGACTGAATTAAATCGGAATTTTTCTATATTACAAGAATAATATTGCAACTGTTAGTGCAAAAGGTCATATGTAACAATTTTACATGTTTTTATCTTTACGCTAAAGGTGACATTTTGCAGTCTGCAACTGCTATAAGTAGTCTGCTAATTAGGAAAATAAAATATGAAATTATAATAATGTAAAAAAACTAATTTTTGCATAGGACCTTTTCCGCTAACAGTAGCAATATATAGCCTACCCATCAAAGCAATTTATTTTAATAATAGTAAAATAAACAAAGAGCTTTAAAAAATAATCCAAATAGTTAGGGCATAAATAAAAGAAAATGATTATCAGAAAATGATAAAATGCTGTAAGAGCTTTGCTAAAACTCCCCTCAAGTAAATTTATAATTTATCAGAATCATACTAGCTTAAGATAAATAAAACATAAAAAGAAATAATAATGAATAAATTAAATTAAAAAAAAAAAGAACCTTTTCATAAGGTTCAATATATTTACCTTGGTTTTTGTTTTTCCTTTTTTTACAGAGCCCTTTGGTCTACCACGGCCACGCTTTGCAGGTGCTTCACCTTCATCCTTCTTCTCTTTCTTATCAGAGGCAGGACGACCTCTTTTTTTAGCTTCTTTTGGAGAAGACTCCTGTTGACCCAAAAAATAAAAACAAATATTCAACAATAATTGAATAATTAAGAAATAAATAAATATATATATATAAATACATACACACACACAAATATATATATATATATATATACATATATATATTATTAATACATCTTTTAGTTATATTTAATTTATTTAAATAGCATACCTCAGTATTCTTAGGGCGCCCCCTCTTCTTTTCAACAGTAGTGGATCCGTCGTCTGACATCGTGTTTAGAATCTAAAACAATATTAATTATTTACAAAAGAAGTAAATTCGATTTAATTTTAACCGCTTATAACGTAAACTAATAATTCGACAATACCCTACAAAATTTGATCACAAAAAATTACAAGGAAAACTAAAACCGCGCCCGCCATTTTCAAAATAATAAGAATACAGCTATCCTCAATTAACCGAAGGATTGAATAATAAAATATAGGTTCTGACAAACACGGGCTATCGACCACTATTTTGTTTTAATAATAGATTTTAAATGAAAATGAAAACGTATTTTTTTGGAAATTTCCCACATAGAACAACAATAAAAATAAATTTAAAAAAGCTTTACGCATCTGAATTTTCAGTGATGGGACCTTCGGCGTCTCTCCGCTGACGCCATATCCCGCATTTAGATTTTTGCTAATAAAGGTAAAAGTTCTTCAAAGCAGTCTAATTTTATTTCTAAATATTAGTAAAAAATGGTTATCCTTATAGAAAAAATTAACAGATTGAAAAAAAAATTCGGTATACTTACAAATAAATGTTAAACAGTCGAAGAGGCGGGCGATAAGTAACGAGCCCCTGTCCGGTGCTGAACGTGTTGTGAAGCCAGAGCCAGTTGCCGCGCAAGCGCAATAGGCAGATGTATATTCCTTTGCCTATAGGACAGATGCCTACTGACAATGGAACCCCTTCTGATTTATCACAGTTAGCATTAACGTACTTTCCCCATCATGAGGAGCCGACTACAGCTTCCTAATAAAATAATTAAATTTATTATAGACTGTTCACTGTGTTTTTAATATAGAATATACATATAGTTTTACTCAAACATTTTACATTAAATCAATATCCTATAGAAGCTATGTGTCTACATTTATAAATGTTGTAACTACTAAATATTTATAAAGCTGAATCCTTTCATATTTAATTTTATTAAATAATTCTTAATAAAATATAAACATAAACAAGTTATTTTTAAGCCAATATGCAAGTTTAAAACGTAAAAATATTCACAAATTTAATTAACACTTCAATTTCATTTGAAATAAACTACTGACTAGTTTGCTTTAATGTAAATAATCAAGTATATAATTTATTATTTAAGAATATTATTGGAAAAACAAATAAAATATTTTTTTTTTAAGAAACATTGATTGTATAAATTAAATTTAACTTATGTATATTTATAACTATATTTATTTACTGATATTTTTTTTTATAAATATTTGTGAAACAAAAATATAGGAAAATGAAAACAAAAAATTGATAGTATGTTAAAACCAATTTAAGCACTTATTTATCAACATTAAAAATAACATATCAACTATACATACATATATAACATACTTATTTATTTTATTTTCAGTTATTGAAAAGATTGAATTATGCTGTTAGTTAATAGGCAATATCACTTAAATATGGCCTATTCTAAACTTTGTTCAGTAATACTAGAAAAGGAGTTTCCTCAATATTAATTATTGATTTCTCATGCAATGATTTTTATTTTAATTGAATATTATATTAATCTTGTTTCCAAGATGTTCAAATATTTTGTGTAGATTTTCATAAAATCCATTTTGGCAATTGATAAAAAAAAAAATCTCTACTATATTATGCAATTAATATATTGATAGCATTTAAATTGCTTGAGGAGTGGGGGTAACTCAGTGGTAGGGTACTGAGCTTCCAATTGTAATACAGGTCCCAGGTTCGAATACTGACTGGATCATGGCAGAAATATTATTTATTCTCTTTCATCAGCCATGGGGCGACCCTGGGTAGGTAGACCCTCCTAGGGCATACCTAGCCTCTATAAAGTGGTTAACCATAATTAAAATAATTAATTAAGGGAGAAAAACCTGGCGGTTAAGCGTGATATCCTTCAAATCATCTCCTTGCACAACCGTAGACCAAGATACAAACAGTGCTTTCCCTAAATAGTACTGAACCCAAAACCCTTCATGTACCGCTGTAGCGGTATTTTTTTTTTTTTTTAATTTAAATTGCTTACTAAGTAACCAGAACAACTATTCAAGAGACCATCTAATTTTCCGAACAGTTTGACCTGTTGAAGAATCAAACGATTAACATACCTTTTTATTTATTTAACTAATTGAAAAAGAGGCTTTTGTTTTTACTTCCTCTTACCTATATATGTAATATATAGTAACGGTTAGTATTGCGATCGTGAAAATTTTCGAATCTGAGATTTCAACTGAAATACACATTTTGAGGTCCCCCGAGTCCAAATAACCAAGTCCCGCAAAATGGCGTGTGTGTGTCACAGGCGTATCTACGGGAGAGGGGGGGAGGGCTTTCGGGCTGAAGCTACCCTCAAAATGGTGAAATGTAACCATGTTTTACAGGAAAAAATATTAAAAACTATCTCTTAAAGTATTCTTGTTCGTGTAATTATATTTAATAAGACTTAAGAACCACTTAAATACCATTTCATATAGGTAAGTAATTTCTTTCCATTTTTTCAAATTAGTTATCATTATAGGTATATGAAAAAAAAAATCTTTCGAGCCGAAGCCCCTCCCAAATTAAATCCTGGACCCGCTAATGGTGTGTGTGTATATGTATGTGAACGGCCTAGCTCATAAACGAAAAGCCATACAAAACTGAAATTGCGTACTTGAGGTTTTTATAATCCTTGGATTTTACAGCAACATTTTCGTCTAGATCGGCAAACCGAAAGTGGTATATATAATGGATTTAACAAATGTTTACGATTTTCACAATAACAGCTCTAACGATTTTGATCTAAGTTAGTATATCAGTGTATTATTAAGCAGTTTTTAATATAATGTAGGCTGTATTCTCATTGATGTTCTCTAACAGGGCTTAAGTGGCTAATTATTCAATATTAGCTACCTTTAATTTTTTTTATTTGAAATAATTAACTATTTAACATTGATCTTTGATACAAAAAATAGTTAAATTAAAAATATGAAAGAATTTGATGATTAACTAAAGGAGATATATGAGAACGTAACGGATAATAGTTGTAATGGAAGAATCAAAGGAATACGAGTGCGTCCGAGCTCGCCCGAAAGAGTACAACAGGCTTCCATAGGTAACATGAGCTTAATATAATACGGACTCACGGGGGAGGGGGGAGGCTTTGGGTCTGAAGCCCCTCTCCTCCCCAAAATGGTAAAACATATTTTACTATTGTTTTATGGAAAAAAGATAAAAAAATTACCTCTTAAAGTATTATTGTTCTTGTAATTCAATTTAAAAGGACTTTAGGAATAGCTTAAACATCATGTCATATAGGTAGTTAGTTTCTTTCTTTTTTTCCAAAGTAATTATCGTTATTTTTATGGAAAAAAAGCTTTCGGACTGACGCTCCCCAAAATTAAATTCTGGATCCGCTATTGTACGGACTCCACGGGTGGATCAACGGGGGAGAGGGGTTTTCGGGCCGAAGCCCCCTAAAAATGGTAGAATATAACCATGTTTTATGAAAAAAAATATTAAAAAGTTATCTCTTAAAGTATTATTGTTCATGTAATTACATTGAGTAGGACTTCAAGAATCACCTATATACCATTTCATATAGGTGGTTAGTTACTTTCTTTTTTTCCAAATCATTATCGTTATTGTTATGAAAAAAAAAGGTTTCGGGCTGAAGCCTCCCAAAATTAAATCCTGGATCCGCAAGTGACGGACTCCAAAAATATGATGTACATAAACATATGCGGTTTTCATATATGCTATCGTTTTTATTATTTAATATTAAATTGTATATAATACAGCGATATAAAAATTGAAATTTGTCTATATAAGGGTATTTAAACAAATAATAATACCCACAATGAAATGTAAATAAATATAATGTCTGTAATTTTTACTTTCACTTCCCCTTTTTCTGAAAATACTTATTTCTGCTAAGAGAGTGGTAAGTGAAAGTCGTGAGGTGCGCGCACCAGATTTGTTTCAATTATATCCTCGCTGAAAATTAATACACCACTTTTTTTTTTTACCAAAGTATTAATTTTTATTTTTATTACAGCTCCTTATGCCATTGTATTTTATCACGATCGTTTAATTCACTGGTTGTTAATATTATTATTGATAGATGTGAACTAACGTTTCAAGTTAATAAGATATTACAAATAGCAGACTAGATAAATATGGTATTTAATGATTATAAGATATTTTGATGCTAAAAAGAGTCAGTATTGGTAAATTAGTAACATCAATATTGAAACCAAGGATGTATGGCTGAGTACGATGGGATGAGGGTTCCGAAATACCTCGATCTGAACCAATTCCTACATTGGTTGGAGAATCCCACTTGCTGGAATAGCTAAGCCACCAGTAACAGTAATATTGAAACCATTAATATTTTTCTTTGAGGCGAAACCAATAATTATCTTATGAATTAAGTTATCTTATTTTCGATCCATAGCTTTGTATTTGAATAGTGAAACATATTTTTTCTTCCACAAGATCATAAAATCTTTTATAAGAAATTCTTTCGATAGTGGTTCTTATAACCAATTAGGATCTATTAACAATTTTGATTTCTTACCATCTTGCATATATACAAACTAACGGATCCAGGATTAATTTTTTTGGGAGGCTTCAGCCCAAAAGTTTATTTATATATATAGCGATAATTACTTTGAAGAACAAAGAAAGAAACTATATGAAATGGTATATCAGTGATTCTTGAAGTCCAACTCAATGTAATTACACGAACAGTAATACTTTTTGAGAAATAATTTTTATATTTTTTTCATAAGATATGGTTATATATTACCATTTTTTTAGGGGGGAGGGAGGGGAGGAGCCTCAGCTAGTCCCCGTAAAAGCCCTCTCTCCGCAGATCCGCCTGTGCATATACATACTGCTTCTGATGATGGAAAAAAATTATAATGATTTTTAAATTTGCTCATCTATATATATCAATATAATAATAAGGCTTAGCGAACCGGATACCACCAATGGATGGCACATTCATCCATCCGCCGTCTAAACCCAACCCCGAC